GCGCCGGGAGAGGCTCAGCCTACCCGCCCCCCCGCCCCAGCCTCAGCAACTGCCCGCTGCAGCCACCCCGATCGGCAGCGGCCCCCCGCGTGCCCTACGCCCCGCTGCCGCCCCGCCAACGGCCCCAACGGCCGCCTCGCGCGCGAGCTCGCCGGGCGCGTTTGTTCTCGCGCCGCAGGCACGCTCCGGGGAGGCGGGGCGGGGCGGGGCAGAGCCTGAGGGGAGCCGGGGGCCGTGGGCGGGGGTAGGCGAGACGCCGGAAGGCCAATGGCAGCTTGCCGCCTCGCGCCTCAGGGCCCGCCCCGTCGCCCGATTGGCGGATCGAGCCGTCCTTCGAGCGGCGCGGCGGCCAATGCGGGGCGAGAGCGGCGGCGGCGTTGTCCCGCCCCGTCTCGGTGTGCGAGCGCCTCGGTAACTCGGCGGTCACGTGTTGTTTTGCTCTTTAGTTGGGGCACTCGGTGCGCGATGCGTTACTCACTGCCACGCTCCCGCCGGCACAGGCAGCAGCCGCCGCGGCAGCAGCAGCACCGGCCGGGCGCCGCCGCCGGGAGCCGAGGCGGGCAGGACGCCGGGCGGCCGCCGGCAGCGCCCGCCGCTTAGAGCCGGCCCCGGCGCGGCTGAGGAGCCCGGGCGGCCGCGCTCGACCCGCGGCGGAGCCGCTCAGCCCCAGCCCCGCTCGGCGTCGGCAGCGCACGGCCGGGGGATGGCGAGCCCCGCCGCGCCGGGGCTGCCGCCCGGCCCCAACCTGAACAACAACAACAACAACCGCGGCGTGAGGAAGTGCGGCTACCTGCGCAAGCAGAAGCACGGCCACAAGCGCTTCTTCGTGCTGCGCGGCCCGGGCGGCGGCGGGGAGGAGGCGGGGGGCGCCCGGCTGGAGTACTACGAGAGCGAGAAGAAATGGAGGAACAAGTCCGGGGCGCCCAAGCGGGTGATCGCGCTGGACTCGTGCCTCAACATCAACAAGCGGGCGGACGCCAAGCACAAGTACCTCATCGCCCTCTACACCAAGGACGAGTACTTCGCCGTGGCGGCCGAGAACGAGCAGGAGCAGGAGGGCTGGTACCGCGCCCTCACCGACCTGCTGAGCGAGGGCAAGGCGGCCGCCGGCTCCCCGCACCGCCCCCTGCCCTCGCCCTTCGCCGCGCTGGCCGCCGGCGAGGAGTCCGACTACGGGCTGGTGACGCCGGCCGCCGCCGCCTACCGGGAGGTCTGGCAGGTGACGCTGAAGCCCAAGGGCTTGGGGCAGAGCAAGAACCTCACTGGCGTGCACCGCCTCTGCCTCTCGGCCCGCACCATCGGCTTCGTGCGCCTCAACTGCGAGCTGCCCTCGGTCACGCTGCAGCTGATGAACATCCGCCGCTGCGGCCACTCGGACAGCTTCTTCTTCATCGAGGTGGGCCGTTCGGCCGCCACCGGGCCCGGCGAGCTGTGGATGCAGGCGGACGACTCGGTGGTGGCCCAGAACATCCACGAGACCATCCTGGAGGCTATGAAGGCTCTAAAGGAGCTGTCCGAGTTCCGGCCCCGCAGCAAGAGCCAGTCGTCGTCCTCCTCTTCCTCCGGGGGGGCGGCCGGAGGCGGCGGCCCCTCTGCCACGCACCCCATCACCGTGCCGGGCCGCCGGCACCACCACCTGGTCAACCTGCCGCCCAGCCAGACCGGCCTGCTCCGCCGCTCCCGCACCGACAGCCTGGCCGCCGGCAGCAGGGCCGCGCCGTGCCGGGTGCGGACGGCCAGCGAGGGCGACGGCTGCCGGGTGGGCTCGGCCGCCGGCAGCCCCATGAGCCCCGGCCCCGTGCGGACCCCGCTCAGCCGCTCGCACACGCTGAGCGGCGGCGGCGGGCGGCCGGCGGGGAAGCTGCTGCCGGTGCTGGCCGGGGGCGGGCTGCAAAGCAGCCGCTCCATGTCCATGCCCGCCTCCCACTCGCCCCCCTCCGCCACTAGCCCCGTCAGTCTCTCCTCCAGCAGCGGCCTGGGCTCCGAGCCGGCCCACCCGCATCACCCGCAGCGCCCGTCCAGCGGCAGTGCCTCGGTGTCCGGCTCGCCCAGCGACGCGGGCTTCATGTCCTTCGACGAGTACGGCTCCAGCCCGGGCGGCGACCCGCGGCCCTTCTCCTCCTCCTCCACCGCCAGCAACCGCAGCAACACGCCGGAATCGGTGGCCGAGACCCCCCCGGTGCGGGACTCCGGCGGCGGCACCGATCTGTACGGCTACATGGCGATGGAGCGGCCCCCGAGCGGCCGTCTCTGCTACCGGCCTTGCCCCGAGGCTGACAGGGGCCACCGCAAGCGGACCTACTCGCTGACCACCCCGTGCCGGCAACGGCCCGCCCCGCCGCAGGTCTCCTCCGCCTCCCTGGACGAGTACACGCTAATGCGGGCCACTTTCGCCGGCAGCGCCGGCCGCCTCTTCCCCTCCTGCCCGGCCGGGGCTTCCCCCAAAGTCACCTACACCCCCTACCCCGAGGATTACGGGGACATCGAGATCGGCTCTCACCGCAGCTCCGGCAGCAGCAGCACCAACCTGGGGCCGCCGGCAGGGGGGGGAGGCGGAGGCGGAGATGATGATGGCTACATGCCTATGACCCCCGGCGTGGCCGCGGCCCTTGGTCGGGGGGGGCGGGGTGGCGATGATTACATGCCCATGAGCCCCACCAGCGTGTCGGCCCCCAAGCAGATTCTGCAGCCCCGAGCGGGGGTGGGAGGCGGCTCCCCCGGCAACGGGAGCAGCTACAAGACCAGTTCGCCAGGGGAAAGCTCCCCCGACGACAGCGGCTACATGAGGATGTGGTGCGGCTCCAAGCTGTCCGTGGAGAGTTCGGACGGGAGGCTGAGCAACGGCGACTACATCAACATGTCTCCTCGGGACCCCCAGCACGGGTCCCAGGCTCCCTCCCTCACCCCCCCGGACTTCTTCTTCGCCCCCGCGGGGCACGGGGCTGGCGAGCCCCTCAAACCCGGCTGCTACTCTTACAGCTCCCTGCCCCGCTCCTACAAGAGCCAGGGCCTGGCTAAGGACAGCGACCAGTACGTGTTCATGAACTCCCCGGGCAGGATGATCCCGGAGGAGGCGATGTGCGGAGTGGCTCCGTCCCCGGCCGGCACCTTCGCCCCCTCCAGCCACACGGTGCCTTCGCCCCTGCGGCACAGCCGGACCGAGGGCTTCCTCAGCCAGCGGTGCCAGCGGGCCGTCCGGCCCAGCCGCCTCTCTCTGGAGACCTTGCGGACGATGCTGCCCAGCATGAACGAGCACCCCTTGCCTCCTGAGCCCAAGAGCCCCGGGGAATACATCAACATTGACTTTGGGGATGCCGCTGTCTATTCTCCCCCCTCGCTGCCCACCGACAGCCCGGCCTCCTCCCTGGGCTCGGGCACAGGGCAGAGGCGCTCCCCTCTCTCCGACTACATGAACATCGACTTCAGCTCACAGTCACCCTCCCAGTCAGGCACGGTCTCAGTGGGCTCTTTGGAAGCGCTCTCGCCTGGCTCTTCCTCCAGCACCAGCCAGCCCGATGGGCGCTACATGAAGGCGGCTGGGGGGGTGGCCTGTCTGTCCAGCCCATCTGACAGTGGGGATTACACTGAGATGACCTTCGGCATGGCCACTACCCCACCCCAACCCATCGTTCAGAAGCCAGAAAGTGCCCGGGTCACCAGCCCCACGGCCGGGGTGAAGAGGCTCACCCTCTCAGGGGTGGAGGCCTTCATTCTTTCCAGCCCGCCCCCAGACCCCAACCGTGGGGCCAAGGTCATCCGGGCTGACCCCCAGGGGCGCAGGAGGCACAGCTCGGAAACTTTCTCCTCCACCACCACTGTGACCCCCGTGTCCCCCTCCTTTGCACACAACCCCAAAAGGCACAACTCAGCCTCGGTGGAGAACGTGTCCCTCAGGAAAAGCGAAGGCCTGGAGGAGGAGCAGGGCAGCAGCCCCATGTGCCGGGAAACCTCGGCTGGCTTCCAGAACGGCCTCAACTACATCGCCGTCGACTTGGTAGATGGCAGCCTGGCAGGCTGTGACAAAGCCAGGTCGAAAGCCAGGCATGTCTTGAACGGAGGTGTCAATGGAGTGGAGATGAGCGCCTACGCCAGCATAGACTTTCTGTCTCACAACCTGAAAGAAGCAAGCGCTGTGAAAGGTGAGTAGCAACACCGGATGGTGCTTGGCTGGAGTGGGTTTGTTCCTCATGGTGGGACTAGGTTTTTTGGCAGAGAGCGCTCTCCCATCGCTCTTTCTTTAAAATCTCCCTTCCTAAACGCATGCTGTAATCACCAGTCTTGAAGGAGCTTGCTGCCTCTTTGTATGAGGGAAAAGTTTACTTTGGGGATATTCCTTTGTGTTTAAATTCTGCTGGGCTGCTATGAGTGTTTACTTCGGGATACCCCAAAGAAGCCGATGTTTACGTTGTTGCCATGGTTGGGTTATACTTCAGAGTTTTCTCATGTAAGATTTCAGAAAGTGTTTGGAAAACGTGGCCAAAATAATTCGTGTTAATACAGCTTCTAAATATTATTTAACAATGTAAAATGATCGAGTTGGGGTGAGGACACGAGATTACAAAAAAATCCCTGGCACTCAAGCTAAGAAGGTCAATCATAACAAAATTAGAAGCATTATTTCAAGATCTAAATTTTGAAATCTCTTATCTCTTGCAAAAGTTTAACAGTGAATCATGGTAAACGTGGAATGTGAAATTAAAAACAGAACCAAAAAATTATCCCCATGCGTCCAGCAGTTGCTGTGCACCCAGGCTGCCCTATGTGGCATTGTGCATCTTGCTTGGGGCGCACCCCATGGCAGCTGGGCTCATCTCCAGGAGTGATGGGAGGGTGTCAGGGCACCGACGTTCTGAGTTCAATGACAAAAGCAAGCCAACGAAATCTGAAACGAGGGCCGAGGGAGAATGTATGTTTTAATTCTGTAGCTGTTCCTTTGTTGAGGTGCTGGTTTTCCTGCTCTTTTTTTTTTCTTTCTTAAAAAGGGAAGAACAAAGAACACTCTTCCCTCCCCATTTCCCCCCCCCTCCCCCTCCCCAAATAGCAACCCGCCTCTTCCTAACAAGCAGGAATTTGTACACAAGTGAATGCTGGCTGGGGAGGGCCCAGAACAGCCAATCTGTCAAGGATTAAAAGTTAATGATGAGGCACCGTAGGGATCCTCTTTGCTGTTGCATTTATTCAAGACACGGTACTTTAAACCTGTATGCATATAGAGCTGTAATAGATGTTTATGGGGATGGCTGGGTGAAACGACATAGTGCGCAGAAGCGGTTGCTCGGAGGTAAATACGTGTTGCTTCTGCATCCATGCTGCTGACAGAGGTCGTCAATTATGTGCGAAAAGTGACAGTCTGTAAGAGCCACGCTTGCAATGTTTTTCCTTCTGTTTTCTTCCTAGCCAGTTGATTTTGAAGAAGAAAATATTTTCTCTTTTGATAGGAAGTACAGGAAGATGGAAAAGATGAGAGCTCCAGCGCTGGCAGAGCAAGCGTTGAACCTAATTAACGCGAGAGGATTGTTGAATGAGATGGCAAAGTTTTAAAGGATGCACGCTTATTCTGAATGACTTGAAGGGCTGAGGGCAGAGTGTTATTTGGCCGTTGCTTTTGTTTTTGCTGGGGTCGTTTTCGGGATTCGTATGTTGTGACCTGAAGCAGTGCAGATGCTGTGCGTATGGGTTGCGTTGCCCTGTACAAGGCCAGCTTTGAATTCACAGCCTAGGACACTAGCAAGCTATTGTGTGTGTTTCTTTGCAAACTGATTTTTCACAGAAATAACAGGTTTTCTAGAGCCACCTATGGCCCTAAGTGCAAACCAAGCTGTTGTTGGGAAAGAACTATTTCCACAGCAATCTCCAAACTGCTGACCCCAATGTAGAGGGGGAGAACGGGGGGAGGGCAGTGGGAGGCAGTGACAGAGAAAACCTGGTGTGTATGGCAGAGCTCCCATCAGCCGGCTTGGGAGTGGGAGTGGGGCAGCCGAGCTGGGGACTGACTGCTGTCCTCCTGCAAAGTAAACAAAGGGGTAATGTCAGAAACATGGCCACGTTAATTTGGTACATAACGTACTGAGGAGAGGATTTAATTCTATTGTATATTTATCAAAGCGTGGTTATAGACAGATTTTAATATTTAATCTGTATGTGTATTTATTTTCCCTATTTCCTTTAAGCTTATAAACGTAGACCTCATCCAGAAGTGCTCTGGGTAAACTCGCTGAGGTTTAATCTCCACGTAGGAGGCAAAGCTCTCCTTCCACCCTCCCGTTTCCCTGGAAAATGTGTCTGCCTGCTGCGCAGTTGCTCTACTCTGGGATTGCTGTAGCCAATATGAAGCGAGGGCGGTAAGAAAAAAGCTGCACAAGCATCAGTCGGAGTGCTCTGGGTTGTATGTCAAACCCAGGGCTTCACATGAGCTGTGTTTGTGGCAGGAAAGCAGGAAAAGCTGTAGCAGGGGGTAGTAGAAATACATCAGGAAGAAATTTGTCAGGGTATGTGGGATCCACTTGTGCAAATTTCCAGGTTTCTCTTTTGGTTTTCATTAGGTTTTCACACTGGAGTTTGTTTACAGAGCTGCTTCTGCCACTGTTAAAATGATCACGTAGTGTTGTGTATTTAAATTCCAAAAGCTGTGGCTTGGGAGATTGTTAAGACTTTCATATTCTGCAGAGAAATATAGAGACAATTTAAAGGAAACTATATTTGAGCAAAAGCAAGAGTAAACTGTTATTTTAACACAGCAGTAATTCAGGTAGATTTGAGAGAATCTATTTTAGTAAAATAATGGTTTGCATGAGAGATTTCTTACATCACGTGTAATCAGCATTGTTTACTGAACTGTTTGCACTGTTTTCAAATTTTGTTTTTGCATATATATCTAAGTGGTAGGCTTTGCCTTTTCAAACAGAAGAGGGATTTTTCTATGGAGTTCTTAAGACAATGGAAGATCCATGTACGCTTAATAATTGGAGCAAGAGAACAAGTCAGATACGAGATATACAAACAAGCTCCTTATAATTACTTCAATAGTAAATTAGTGTAAAATACATGGAAAAAATCAATTTGAATCCTTCTTAAGCTCTGTAGCAATCAATGTATTTTCACGTGGATAAATGCTTTGCAGGAAATTGTCTGTGTTATTTGAAGGTGGTTGGTTTTCACATGTAGCTTTTTTCTGCTGCCAGTACCTGACCTCTGCTGTAGCAATTCTATATTTCTGGGATCTCTTTCCATATTGTCCTCTCAAAGCAAGAGCGAGCTTGTGCCACCACAGTGGCTGTGACAACAAAGAAATCAAAAGTTTGCTTGAAATCATCAGTGCATTTAGTTTTACTGTACTCTGAAAGTGTGCGCATACTTAAGAATCTGAGAAATGCTTGCTTTCTTCCAATTTGTAAATAAAACAACGGTTTTACTGGTCAGTTAAAGCTCTTGTTGGATGTGGATAATTAGCTAGCCTTTTGTTCTGACATTCTGACTGCTTTTTTGCTTAAAGAAATGTATGCCCTGTGTATGGTTTTATTATTTATAGAGACATTTGCAGTCTTTTTCTCATATAGTGTCAATTATTTATTCCAGTGTATTTATGGCAGGTAACACTCAACAATGAGGTGACTTTTTGTGCTGAATCTTAACTGTTGAAGTAAAGTGGGAGTTTCAGTGGGGTAAAGATTTGACCTTTTGTGTGTAATCCTGGAATTTGAAGTAAAATTCCCATTAAGGTTAGTGACTGTGTAATTGGGAGTTCTGCTTAATTGGAAACACTGGACTTGGGTGTGTTATCATTCATTTTTGTCTTCTCTTAACAAAATGCTCTGTAACTTTTAAATGCTTATAGTATTTGGTCTAATTTTCTAAATCTGAACAGATATTATGTATAATGGTGCAAAAAAAAAAACAAAAAAACCCCACAAAAATACCACCACCACCACCAACTGAGGATTGTTTACTTCCTGTGTTAGTTTTGTTGTCTTAATTTAAAGTAATCATCTGTAATGCATCTACTGAAGATCGTAATAAGGTGATTTTTGATAATAATGAACCTCCCCCTTGTTAATTAGTTCTTACTTTTGTGAGGGTTTTGTGATTGCATCTAAACCAAATAAAAAGCCTATCTTAAGAGCTCTCTCCCTGTGTCTTTCTAATGGCATTTCAGATTATTTCAAATATAACCCTTGTTTCCTTTTTTTTTTTTTCAGATAGCTTTGCACAATGAATTATTAAAATTTTTTTCCATTCTAGTATGCCAACTGCCATAAAGTTTTGATTCTCAGAGCAGCGTGAGAATGTTTAATTGTCTCATTTCCAAAACTTGTATTCATTTTTAAAAAATGACTTCTTAAAAGGATTGAAAGAACTGTGTGTTGTATTAGAAACCCGTACATCTTTTAAAGTCATCTTTGAGTAAATTAGTTGTAAGTATAGTATTTTCCCTTGCTGATAAGTTCCTTAAGAACATCATAATTAACACGTGAAAGAACTGAACTGCTTTTAACAACTCGCATAGTTGGATTTTACCGCTTAGAATTAAACATCTGAGGTTGTCTTTTACTGCCTCTCTGAAAGCACTTTTTATCTCTCAGATTGCATTTTACAGGTAACCACACCAAAATGGCAAAGCCTGAACCCAGCAGCGCCATTTGTGGAACAAAATTTCAACTGAAGCTATCTGAGATTAAATGAAGCCTTTGATATTTTAAATTCTGTTGATTATGCGGATGTCAGCTTTTTACAAGCAGATAGAATATTTAAACTTGTAACATGTATTAGACTTCTATTTTGCTTTATACTCTAAATTACATTTAGCCTATACTGTTCTTGTTAGGAATGTCATGGTTGCTTTGAGTCATTTAAGATAAATTGTTATAGACAGAGTTGAATGGTGGGTTTGTTCTAAAATGCACCGGTACAGTCATTGCTCAAGGCAGAGGAAATGCTTAGGTTGATGATTGCTTCTGATTACTTGATTTCTTTCAAGATAGCTACGGAAACTAACGCTCCCTTGTAACTAAAATGCATAAAGGAGTGTTTGAACAGAAAGAGCATTAGGACTTGTTTTATATGGTGGTCTATGGTTTGTTTGTTGTTGTGTATTGGTTGTTTTTTCTCTAATAAGGAGGGAATAGCATGGGATTTTTACACTTGATTTACTGTCATTTTTAAATAGCAGTAATTATACTGGAATGCTGAAGTGGTTTCAAAGTTGAAACACAGCAAGCATCTACACAAAAATGATGCTATCATTAGTGTATGTAATGTAACTTTCCTCCCTATTTGTCAGTTCAATGGCAACATAGACACATTCAGGCATTTTTCTCTTTGTATCAGATTTTCAGTAAAGCACTTAGAAAGCACAGTTAATATGTTTATTTTCAAAGTAATAAACATAAATAGCCATAGCTTGTTGGTTTTTTTTGTTTGTTGAGGATGGAGTATGCTGTTACAGTCGTTGTCTGCTTGCTTTCTTTGTGTCTACGTGTGTTATGTATTAGTTGTGGTGTACTGTAGCAGAGTTTGTGGAATTTTAACATTGTGTTAGCAAAATGTGCTTGATAACAGTAAAATATGAGTATAGTGACTTATTTGATACATAAGGGTGTGCAGTGTTGAGGGTTTCACAGTTCTTTTTGTTATTTCTTTGAACGTTTGCTTAAAACAGAGCTGTATGCACATGGAAATCAGTAGCATCCATTCATTTTTAAAGATAGTGCACTGACCCCAGGGTTCAGATGCATTTTGCTTGTGTGTGCATTGTCTGGAGAACAGTTGTTTTTAAAGTTTCTGTGTGTATACATAAAGGGGGTCAAGAGTAGCAGTCCTGCAGAGCCAAGTTCAGCTGAGTAGTTCCTTGCTGCCAATTGCTGAAAAGACAGCTTTTCCTCCTGGAGCCTGTCCAAAGGACAACTTTTTTTTTGTTTTCTCCCTGGTGTTTGTCTCTGGAGCCTGACCGTGTGTATCTCCTGGTCCCCTAGAATCAGCTGAAGTAAACAGAGCTCCTCTAGAGGAGTGCTCCTCCAATCTTATGTAGACACCTACTAGAAAGCAGCATGAATTTTCCCCTCCACTTGGCTGCACCTCTGTGAGCTGTAGAAGAAACCTGGGTTACTGGTTTAGATCACATTTGTTGTTTCCACGCTCCTTTACATTGGATGAATCCCGTAGTTTCACAGGGTTGTATTTATACTTGAGGCTTAGGCATTGTTAGCTGGACTGAAAACTTATACAAAAACTAGAAAAAGCACCGTAAAGGTTACTTGCACCTTTACAGAGGGTAACTTAAAACAGTGCACTTCAGTGTTAGAGCGCTAAGACAGACGGTAACACCTGAGCCTTACTAAAGGACAACAGAGGAGCATCATCTCTGTTAGGTATTATGGGCAGCTCTCCTGAGGAACAGGCATTGTTGCTGGGACTCCTCTGGTAAGTGGTATGCCTTGGAGGTGTGCTACTGTCTGGAGCTGCAGTGAAGCACAGACCTCCAACACCAGTCAAAGCAAAACTAGCACTGTTCAGCATAAATATTTGCTCTAAATGTGAGGGATTCAGTTGGAAGCCTATTTAATAAATAAATAAATAACAAAGAGAATATTTTGAGTTCTGTTATCTACCCAATTTTTCATTATTTACAAATTATCTGTTTTTCTTTTCAAATAATCAATTATTTATCAGCAGTGACAGTCCCGAGTTATGCATAGGTGTAGGAAAATAATAACAAAAAGCAATTTTTTGCACGCACAGTGGAGGGCAATGTGTTTTGTAAAGAAACACGCTAGAAGCTGCAAGTGGAGAAGTAATGCATCTTTTTGGCACTGAGTTTGTTTGTTTGTCAAACCTGGGTTTGCTTGTCTTGGTTATACTCAAAATATATTAAAATAATAATAATAATAATAAAAAACAGCTCTAGAGTGCCTTTTTATCATCACTATTTCTGTCATTGGTTTGCTGACAGAAAAACTGAAACGCCAGACTGAAGCCCCTCCTCTGATCGTAACGTCTACGTTGCGGAAGAGGATCGTAGTAGCCTGATTCCATAGATTAGTAGTGATTCAGTGTTTTGTTTACATTTTGTCAATCTCTTCAGCATCCTAGAGGAGAACACTTCCTTCCTGGCAGATGGCAGCCCCAGGGCCATGCACCTGCCACGACAGGCTCTGCGCTCGTAATCTACCCCAGCATCGCTGTTGACAAAAGGCTAATGACGGGAGACTGTCTGCCTGACAGCCTCAACAAAACAGGAGCACATTTGTCCTTCAGCCAGGCTCTGAAAGATCTTAGGAAGGACGTTTGGGTGTATACGCGAGAATTATTGTGGCATTTAATTTCGCCTTCTTCAGAAGGTTTCATGGTGTGAGACGCTTCTGAGATAATTACATTGTAGAAAGCAAAGGGTGCCTCAAAGAAGGGATTTTCTGTTTCTCTGCTGGAGTGACACCCGACTTCCTATTCCGCAGCTCAGTGCAGATGGTAGGAGCACGTGTGTGATTTAGCCATCAGGGCTGTGGGGTGCTGGCGAGGGGCTCAGCCCTGCGCTGCTCGGAGGCTGCCGTTAGCTGTTTATGAATGGTGTGTGCCGCGGTTGCATAATGCATTCATTTTTCCGTCGTCTGCCTGCTAGTGTTAAACGTTGTTATTATGTCACTAGGCCAGGATCTCTTAATTTGTCTTTCCTTCACTTGTGTGTTTACGTTAGGTTGCCGTTCTGATTTGAAATGCACGTGGGTGACGTTCCTCGCGGAAGCTACCCAAGGCGAGGGTGTCTTTGAAGTAGGCCAGGATGTTCTTTGCTAAATTTAAAAACTACCCAAATATTACCCAGAGTTTGTAGAGTATTAAGCGGGATTACATGACGCACGGATTAGACATTGTTGAGCAGCTTGTTTTTGTTTGAAGGGGTCAGAAATGGAGGCACTGGGGCTTGAGTGCATTGCCAAGCCGGGGAACTTGCCACTACCACAAACAGCAGAAGTTTATTAGAAACAACAGAACACAGTGGAAAGTCTTCTAAGCTTTTTCAAGTGATGCTTTAAAAAATGTGTTTGAAACGTGCTCTGGTGATGAGTGCAAGGTATGAAACTCACTGTTCAGTTTGGCTCAGTTTCACAGGCAGTTTCAAGTAGATGAAGAATAATGCTGTAAGCAAGACTTGAGGTGAGGACTCAGCTTCTCTGAAGTCAAAGACGAATCATTAAATCTTTCCAGTAGCAGTGGGAAAATCTTGTCAGTGAAATTAGATCTAAGCAATTTTAGATTTACCTATTGTCTTGTGTCTTCCCTGGCAGCACATTATTTAAAAATGATGTTAAAGAGGGTTCTCTATGTCCAGTTTAACCCTTCATTAAATTGGCAAACACTATCAGGTTAATGTATGGAATGAGGAATTGGAAGATCTTTCTTTTGGATCTGGGCTTTTGCTCCCTGCAAGTTACAGGCTTGATTGAATGAGACATTCCTGTGAACATTTTTAGTGGGAAAGTTAGGCTTGGCTTTCACATGGGAGATGAGCTACAGGGCAGGACAGGGAGAGTTGCTGAGGACAAGAAAGTAGTAGTGAGACTGGCTTAGTTAGCCTTGGGGGATGGAGTAACTGACACTATACAAAGTTATTCCTAACAATGACTAGTACTACATTTTAGCATTATTTTTAAGAAGCAGGAGTAGAATTGACACAAACCCCTTTAGATCAATCAGGAAAAGATTTATTTGCAAGGGGGTTCTGATATTCGGATCTGAAAGTTGGAGGTGAAATTCATCTGTACAGTAGTTTCTCTCAATTGTGTCATATCATTTGGAAATATTTATAAGAGGCTGGACTTGCATCTTTTACAATGAAGATTTAATTCCTGAGCAATTGTTTCTGCCAAAATCAATGAAGCATTAACTTTAATAATACTGTCTCTTTAACATAACAAGAAGAAAAGTTATGCTTCTGTTGTAATAATCAAGAGTTATTGATAAAAACTTGTGATGATGATAAATATTCAGATTGTTTGTGAACTGCAAAAATTGCTTTATTATGAGCGTTATTTACAACTAATTAGTCTTGATCTAATAAAACTCTGAACATTTATATTTAGAATTGGAATCAAACTGGTAAAGCAGTGGAGAGGTACGTAGTTCACTCTGTAGTGGTCACAGAACTTCTGTTTGTGACTTTAACAATAGGTACAGGAAATGAGTATGCAAGGAGGCATAAGGGATAAATGTATGATCCTGCAGCACATAATGCTTCAGGGAGTTGTCTGTAAACATAAAATGGGAGTACTAATGACCTTATAAACCCAATATTCCAGCAGTTCCCCTCACAAATATTAGGGAGAGATTCTTGCTTGCATAAATAGGATGCTGCTGCTTTCTTTTGGAGTTCTACAAAAATATAATTTGTCATACTTCTCTGTTTTAATCTGTAAATGACAAGATATTTGTTTGACAAGATAAACCTTTAACAGTAACTGGTGTAATCTAAATAAATAGTAGATTGTATGGGTTCTAAATAAGTAATTTGGTAGTAATCAGTTGTTGAATGTTAGCCAATAGGATGATTTCCAGATATAAATGCACCAATGTATTTCAGCACTGTAGATGATTTCTAGACCTCTAGGTCCTCTTTAGTTTTTTTTTCCCCATTAGTGCAAACATTCAAGTGGCAGTAAACTTAATGCAGTGTAAGAGCTGTAACATTAGAATAGTGTATCTGTTGTTTTTTATTGTTTTATTATCAGGGCTACAGGGATGATGATGAGGGAACTGGAATATCTTCCTTATGAAGAAAGGCTGAGAGACCTGGGGCTGTTCAGCCTGGAGAAGAGAAGGCTGAGGAGAGGGGGGATCTTACCAATGCTTTTAAATATGTAAAGAGCAGGTGGCAAATGGATAGAGCTGGGCTGTTTTTGGTGGTGCCCAGCAACAGATCCGGTGGCGGTGGGCACAAACAAAAACACAGGAAGTTCCATCTGAACATGAGAGAGATCATCTTCCCTTTAAGAGTGACAGAGCACTGGAGCAGGCTGCCCAGTGAGGCTGTGGAGTTTCCTTCTCTGGAGATACTCAGAACCCACGTGGACACTTTCCTGTGTGACTTGCTCTAGAGAACCTGCTTTAGTGTGGGGTTGGGCTAAATCGTCTCCAGAGGTCCCTCCCAACTCCTGTGTTTCTGTGTTTCTATATTCTTGGCTATGTTAGGAAGCGTAAACAATAGCCTTAGACATGGAGCTTGAATGAGCACAGCTTAACTAGTGTGCTTTATGGCAGAAGGAGCTGGTCTGTGCTCAGCATGAGGTATATAGGACATCTAGGTCCCATGCTGCTGTTTGACGGTTATGAAAAGTCAACTGAGAGTGTTCTGCAAGAGAAGTTATCCCCCGTGTCTGCTACATCTGTCAAGAACCTGGCAAGATTTGACTTGCCTTCCTGGCTATGTGGATGCTCTGTCACCATAGTAAGAGGAAGTAATGCTACACTTTATACTCTTCACACTCCTCAGCAAGTATTTTTCTTCTTTGTACTCATAAATGGTCTCTTGTATCTTTACAAGATAGTAAAACTTCAGCCATGCAATTTTAAAAACACTTATAGAGATATTTGAATGTCTTTTTTTTTTATTTGATTCAGGCTTGTGTTTTGCTTATTTTTAATTTGCCGAAGGACATACTTACATTGATTTTTTTTTTTTTTTTTTTTTTTTAACTCACAATTTCTACATAACTATATTGCAACTTTCTGTTTCCTTAAATGAAGTGCGGGTATAATATTAAGGTGTGTTCCCAGGACTTAGACCCCCAGCAGATGGGAGTCATGGGTCTGAGTGCACTCAGACAGAGAAATGCCATTCCTTCAGCAGTTCTTTACTTGCTGAAGTTAAAAGGAAAACACTGAGTTCTTCAGAGGTTTTGTGGGTAGGATGAAAGTTTGGACTCTACATCCCAAGTGGAATGAAGTGTACACATTGTGTCTTTAGGTATCTTGATGATGTGAGTATTAAGAAACGTTTCTTTGTTCAGTATTTCCTGTTTGTTTGGTTTCAATCCCATTCCCTTTACCAAACACTGATTTTCAACTGGTCTTTTGGAAGCATTTTCCCAAGCACTGTGCTGACAGCTGCCTGAGCAGCCAACTCTTATTCATTGCACTCGGTAGGCAAGCCTCCAGGAAGCTCTGCTGAGGGTGGCAGAGTAGTAGGCAAATAAGTCCTTTATAAAAACCTGTTACATTCTTCTTTATAATCTTTTATTACTGTTTTTTAATTATGTAAAACCATTGTTTTGCTTAATGGTGAAGTGTCTTTATCATCCTCAGATCAGTATAGCAGTCAGTGTGTACCTGAGTAAAGCTTTAATTTTCCTTCTGTATTCTAAGAAACAACTCACATTTTGATATGTGTCAAAGAAGGTGTTAACTCGTTACTTATGTAAAACACAAGCAAAGCTAATTCTTGCTAGGAAGCAGGAAATGCAGTGTGTTTGATACACAGAAAACTGTTTCTCATCAGTTTAAAAAGCAAAGACTAGCACAGTGCTGAAAATAATTATGTTTGATTTTCAGTTAATCCGGGAGCAGGGGATGCTTGTCCAAATTCTGTGATTTAATTAAGGAAAAAACACTGG